AGCAAAAACCTATGGTAAGATGGAGGTAATATACCCAGGATTGGACATGAGCAGGGCCAGAATATAAGTAAGCTGCATGAATGTGTGGCCAGAGTACTATGTCATTAATGATACCTGGTCAAATACATGTCTGCATGGGATTGGGGTGTCCCTTATGACTGACACCAGAAAAAAGGCTGAGCTTGGATCAAGCATGGTTGAATTGGTAAGGAGGTGCAAACTGAAATGAGCTGCTGCTGCACACTGACCTGGTAGTGATAAAGCAAAATCCTCCCAGTGGTTCAAACTTCATGCATTGCCCGTGGTCATCCATTTTGCACATAATGAGAAGTGGCCTAAAGTAAGAATATGTAAGACTCCTGGGTAGTGGCATATGGCCTGGCTGTTTCATAGGTGCCTGGAAGTAGAAATGTTGGATGAATGAGGAGAAGGCCTGTGGAAGAGGCATGTGAATGGAGCTATGGGAATGGGCACAAAGTGTGGCTATCTGAATCACATGGCGGTGTCCATCAGGTAACGTACCATCATGGAAGAGACAATAAATGACCACATAGACATGATGATTCCGTCAGTCATATCAGCTAGACTCTGCTTTTGTCCACCTAGTGGGGTCACAGAGGGCACATGCAGAGTAGCCATAGAGATGGAAGCTCTGCCTGGTGGCAAGGGTGAAGGTTCTCTTTGTGGAATTTACAGGGAGGGCTCTTACTTCACAGTGCTGACCTGGCTCCTGCTAGTGCCAAGTGCACAACATGGCAGCACAAGAGACCAACACTAAGCCCCCAATGCAGCACGATCCTGCAAAGGGACCAGCCAGCCACTCACTGGATCGTTGATTTATATTCTACCTGGATGGGCCAGTGATTCAACTTGGCTGGAATTGATACATATTCTGCTACAGATTTGCCCTTTTTGCCCACATTGACCAAAACCATTATCTGAAGGATCTGTATGGATCCTAAAAAGCATTGTCTCCGACCATGGGGCATGCCAGCATGTATATGTCTGTTGTAGACTAATGACTCCTTCCAAAATTATCCATATTGTAATCCTCAGAACTTGGAATATATTATCTTACTAGAGGCCCTGTGCACGAATTCGTGCATGGGTGGGGTCTGGCCCACCCGCCCCACTTGGGGCCAATTAGGCCTGGCTGGCCAGGGGGAGGGGCCATGGGTGGTTGGCCTACTGGCCCTGCCCCCTGGTCGAACTCCCAGTTGAGGGGACAATTTGCATATTAGCCTTTTATTATATAGGATTACATAGGATGTGGCAAAAGAGGCTTTGCAGGTGTAGTTAAGTTGAGGATCTTCAGATGGGGAGAGTATCCTGGATTATCCAGGTGGGACCAATATAATCACAAGAGTTCTTATAAGACGGTGGTTCTCAACCTTGGCTGCACATTAGAATCACCTGGGAATCTTTTTAAAATCCTGATTTCTGGGCCTCATCCTCCGGAAATTCTGTTTCTTTATTATGGGTTGAGGCCACAACATTAGTAACAAAGAAACAGAATTTCCGGAGGATGAGGCCCAGAAATCAGGATTTTAAAAAGATTCCCAGGTGATTCTAATGTGCAGCCAAGGTTGAGAACCACTGTTCTAGGGGCAACAGTTCTCAGACTTGAGTTTACATCAGAATCACCTGGAGGGTTTGCTTAAACAGAACACTGTGTTCCACCCTCAGAGAGGTAACCAGAGAATCAAGGGGTCTGGGCTGCCTGTCACTATTTGAGCCAATTGAGCAGAGACAGGGTTGAATCTTATATGAGCGTTTATTCCAATAATGCTGGCAGTATGGGAGAGCAGCAGGTCATCCACAAAAATCTCCTCTGCACCCACCATAAGTCAACTGCTTATATTGGGTAGAAGGATAAGGATTACATTGGGAAGTAGGCAAACGGTATGCCAAATGGACATTTTACAGGTAATTCGGGCTGGGGTTTGCAAAGGGCTGGGGGTTTGCAAAGTGGGGGTTTTCAAAGGGCTGGCACCTCTGGTTTCTGCAACAAGGTTGTTGATCTGTCCGTGATAATAGGCAGCTCCTGGATGTGGAGGATGGGCCGCATTTCCAGGTGAGCTCCCAGGTCCCACATGCAACTCCCAGCCAGGTTAGATAGACTGTACTTTCTTTCATCAGAACAAAACAACCATGGTTAACAGAGCATGATTAATATTTCTTACAATGACAGCTGGTCCCCAATATTCTATTTCTGCCCCTATCGGAGAAGTCAGATTCAATAGCTCTGGGATGGGCCTGAGATTCTGCATTTCTAAGAATGCTGATGCTGCTGGTGGGAAGACCGCACTTGGAGATGACTAGTTTTAGCTTCCACTATTCTTCATCCCATCCCACCTTTATCTTTCAGCTGGCTAGGGCCTGGGGGCTGGAATGGTGGAGAGGAACATCAACCCGTTGGGAAGCTTGATAGGCAGTGATTAGTACCAAGTGACCTCGTTTGTGACTAGAAATAAAGCTGGCTGCCGATGTAAGTGGGAGTGGGATACTTTCTCAGTTAAATTGAAACTTTGTTGCCAAGAAGAGAAAAGTGGCTGATGAAAGTTGAATATATGTCAAAGTAAGTTGATTTAGGAGTACTTCTATAGAATAAAGATATTATTGTTTGGCTTATTTGCAAAGCAAAAATTTTCTGGTCAGGAAGTAACACTATGACATGAAATAGACTCTACAATTAAGTAAAATGAAGCCAGTCAGGAAAAGATAACAAAAGCCATCTTACTCAACTACAGCAGCTCAGCATTATGGCAAATATTTCAGTTGGTGCTAACCATTGAGCTTCTAAAAATGTTCCAAGAATGAAAATCATCCAGGGATGAAGCAGTAATAAAGGAAATCTCAAATACAATTGCAAATGTTGCATTTCCTAATTTAATAGGATAACATTTCAAAGTAAAGTCAGCATTTTATAAACATTTTGCCATAATTAGCTCTTATCCAAGTTATTAATCACTCTTTTAAAGCTCTTTGTACTTTTTATTTTCTCTTCTAGCCTTGATGATTCAGTGTCTACAATTAATATTTATTTAGATCTGAATCATTCATTCTGTGGATAAAAAAGGACCACATGCTAATCTTAATAACTCAGGGAAGGTCTGCATTGGTGGCCTTGCAAACTCAAGAGACCTAAAGTAACAACAAAGGATGGTCTGAAACTAAAACCTTCAATTTAATTTTGATCTTTACTGAGCCTATAGTTTTTTGCATCTAAGATAACGTACGTGAGGAATGTCAGGGTAAGTTTTAACTTCCCTTTTTCCAGACCCCTCAGGGCACAACCAAATGCACCAGGTCGCCTGGAGGGAGACCACAAATTCCTTCATTGTTATTGTTGTCATGTTAATTGTTGACTGTTAACTATCCTGCACCCACCTAAGCAAAAAATGTGTCTATCTTTTTACTTTTTATCCAATCCCAGAGCCCTCCCCCCACCACTTTGCTTTCTCCCGCCTCCCTAATCTATCACCAATGGATTTCATGTAACAACTCCTCCTTTGATTGATTGTAATGTATAAAACAAGGTGAAAAAAACGCCAGTCCAGAGCACTGTCTCCATACATTACCATTCTGCTTCCCGGCAATTGTCGACAGTTTGGCTCAAATAAACTCACAAAAATTCTTTACAGGTTTGAATATTTTTTACATTAACAATTCCTTCTTTACCAACCTGACTTAGCAGTTCTGTTACTTTACTACCGATATTCTTTCTCCACTGTTACTAACTGAACCTTGTTTTTTTGTGTTTTTTTTTTTTTTTTTTAGAACAGCAACGCACCCAACTGAAAGGCTCACCACATCACCCTCCTTTGCAGCTGGACGGTTGGCAGTCCTGGCCAGTGAAATGTGAGGCTTCCTGGAAACCTTTCAGCAGTGGAGGGACCCAGCTCACAGGTACCTGTTACCCTTGCCTTTCATCATCCTTCTTATCTCATCCTTCCCAACACAGATGAGAGGCCATCCCTTGGCCTTGGAGTGTTGCACCTGAGGACAAAAGCCACTTGCCAAGCTGGCAAGGTAAGAAGGGAGGTAAGAAGGAGCCTGAGATCATGCTAACGTCCTGGTTTTGTAGCATCGGCTGGGGTTGCTGACCTCCAGTCTTCTTGTGACCTAAATACATAAATAAATAAATAACTTAATTAAAAATCCTTATTTAGATAGACCATCATGGTCCACTTTCTGTTTCTTGCAGCCCAAAACAATCCCAACTGGTACATTCATTTACTTCCTTAAAGGAGCCCTTTTGCGGGCAAGAGCAGAGCAGTAACTCTCAGTCTTTAGTGTGTATCGGAATCATCTGAAGGGCTTGTTGAAAAACAAACATCTGAGTCTCAACCCTAGATATTCTGATTCAGTACATCTGGGGAAAGCCCAGAGAACTTGTAATTTTAACAAGCTCCCAGGGGCTGTCCATGCTGCTGGTCTGGGAACCACACTTGAAAAGCCTGGCAATGGTTTCAATGTGACCCTGCCTCAAGCGAGAGCTTGGACTGGGTGACACTTCAGTGTCTGTTTCTTGAATCCCCTGGTTCTGAGCCTCTGTTACACTGTCCAGAAGGCCTGCGTGTCATCCAGATTCAGCTGCTGGGTGCCGCTGGTCAAACTGGTTGGGTAAATATTTTCAAGATGTTCTAGGTATTCAACAGTGAGTAGAAAAAATCTGTTGTTGGGTCAGACAACTTCATGACATCTTATCTTCCCCTGAAGATACCAGGCTATTTTTCTGGATCCAGTTTATATATGTAGTGAGTTTCAGGCACCAACAACTTCCTTTCGCTGTATCTGCCTGCTGGGACTCTTCCCCAATGCTTGCTGAGGGAACCACTTTTCTCTAATATCAGAGTTTAGAAGAAGCTCCAGGTGAGCTTGTCTTATCATTCTCCTTTTGAAGACTCTCACTCTGTCTACGAACAATTGCTAACTTTTTAAAGGAGTCAGGGGAGATTAATTTTCTGCAAAAACTGATTTATGGCCATCTCTTCTGAGAGGATGGCCTGCGTCACTTTCCTTGCCTCATGCTCACTGCAGAAATTCAGTGATAAAAACCTTCCTTTAAACACAGAAAATGTATGAGCAAACTTCAAGGTCTTTCCCCTAACGCAGCAATTAATCTTGAGGTTAGATAGGAAAACCAAGAACAGTTTATTTGCAGAACAGCAAAAAGGGATGCCCCAAA